AAAAAAAAAAAAAAAAAGAAGAAGAAAAGGAAAAAAAGCTTTAATGAGAACAAATGGTAACTCCAGCCTCGAGAAAACACACAAAACCGATGGCGAGAGGACGAGAGAGGGAGAGACCCAGGAGCATGGGAGTGTGTGTGCACGGGAAGGCAGCAAGCGGGCGATGAGCGATGGTGATTTTGGCCTGGGGGGTGCCGGGGCGAGCCGGCCCCGTGCAGGGGTGAGGTATTTCTGAGCAGAGGCAGGGCTGCGTGGAGGGTGAGGTATTTGGGGCAGATCTTGTTAACCTTTTCCGATGGCTGTTGGAAACCAACTTTTTTGCAGTAGTAAAAAAAAAAAAAAAAAAAAAAAGAATACACAAAGAGAGACTCACATATAATTTTTTTTTTTCCTCAAAAAATAAAATCCATAGTCCATATGAGACATGAAAACTCCAAACAGGCACTGAAGCGTTTCCGATACAGTACAGCTCCGATTACATCAATATTATTCCTTATATAGAATTAAAGATTACCATAATTATCCTCTTTTAAAAAAAAAAAAAAATCCTCCAAATTTACATATAGAGACTAAATTTCTACAAAACTTAACAAAACAAAACCCCTCCAAGCCCGGCTGGGTTCTGAAACAAGGTACCGTCATGTCAGTCTTGACAGAGGGGCCAGGCAGAAGGGTTGCAGAGCTGGGGTTTAAATACGAGCTTAGACCAGGGAATCACTGCACGCATGAGCTGGCACGGATGCGTGGACAAGGCGACTACAGCAAAACTAGTTACATGACAACCGACTCAAAAGTAGCTCGCTCTGAGGCTCAATGCTTCCAGACGAGCTGTATCCCTCACTCCCCTCCCAAAGCGGTGAAGTGCTGATTAATTAAAAAAAAAAAAAAAAAAAAAAGCAAATTTGCTTTTAAAATATCCTGTAAGTTATTTTGGACACGCTTTGAGTTGTTGCACATGCTTGACATCCACGGCGATTAAAGGAGCCCTTTAAAGGTGACTGTTTCTCTGATTTAGCTGTAGGTCGTAACCGTCTCTCTTCCTACAGAGATGGTCCTATGGGCTTTTTTTTTGGGTCTGTGGCAAGACACTGTAGCACCTTCACAACCTTAAATAGTTTAAAGTCATATATATAAAATAACACACTTTTTTAAGAGCACCAGAGATTTCACAGTGAGAGGTAGAAACAAATCAGACAAGCCCATCCTCTCTCTCTATTTTAGCACCAATCTCTTCCCCTCTCCTTCCATTCCCCCCTCTCAGCTTCAGGACTCTCCCCTACCCCAACACCACACATGAGAAGGGACGTTGATTAAACTCACCCATGGAAGGAGGTTTGTTTTTTTTTCCTGTTTTTTTTTTTTTTTTCCTTTTTCTTTTTGCTTTAAATAATATAATATATATATTTTGTTTCTTCTAATATTGCACATCAAAATGCTTCCGGTACACAGAGCAGCCAGATTCAACTTGCAGCTCCGCCTGGGAGACCTGATGCGGCACGTGGCCATCCAGAAGGCGACAAGCTCTGAGGGGGAAGCTCTATCTTTTAATTACTTTTCAATGGAAAGAACATTTGGTAACTCAGGAACCGGGTAAGACAAAATGGGGGGGGGGAAACAAAGAAAACCCACACGCTGCAAGTTGCTTGAGGTTTCTCTCAATGTTTTCTTTGGTCATGGAAAAAGCTTTGTGTGTGGAACTGCTTGCAACATCTAGTCCCCTGATCCCTTTTCACTGTTCGCGTCCCGACTGATACCCGCTTCCCCTACGTCCTTGTTATTCCTCCTTTCAACAATCTGCTGAGTTCAGTAGATCACGGGTTCTTTGAGACCTTGAGCCAAAGGCTAGAGCAAGAGTTGACCCAAAAGATACAGCCCAGCTGTCCTTGCTGCGGAGAGGTGGGAGAGCCTGTGTAAAGACATAGGCCAAACATGGGGTCAAAGCCTTGGAGCCCGGTTTTGATGGCTTTGTTCAAAGGAAGCACACGGGGCCGACCTCGAGGTGATATTGCTTTCCTGGCTCGGATGGGGGAAGGTTGTAGATGTTGACAATTGGCAGCTGCTGAGGGTCCTGTGTCCGAAACGAAAAGAGAGTCCGATGCCAGCGTCCATCCTTGATCTGTGCAGGGAGGAGGGACAGAGAAAAAGCTGTTTAATTGGGGGCGAATCCTGCTGGAAAGGAACACGTTTCATGAGGTACAAGCTTGAAAAGCCCTGCGTGAGACAAGGGGCGGCCCTTTGGGCTGAGCGGGTCTGGCGTGAGGCTTAGAAAGCGTTGGGGGGAACCCTTTCCCCAGGTCGAGTTGATGGAAACCGAGCTTGAAAGGGCTTCACCAAACACAAGCTCCTAATGCGGTGAACCCAAAATGCAGACG